ATTTGACTCATTCAAGCACAATTTGAACAATTCCAGAACCGTTTTCTCCCCACGATTTGAGGGGATCACTACCCTATCATGGAGAGATTTATGGGGGGCAGTTACACCCTATTAAACCCTCATTAAGAAGAGATTTAAGGGGGCGGTTACACCCCTTAATCCCCTATAAATAGGGGTAAACTCAACTGAGTTCAGGCTGGATGTTTGGCTCTGGGATTGATCCTTCTTTTTGGGTAGCAAAGAAGGGATCTTCGGCTGACTTTTTAGGGGAATTACTGGAGATTTGGCTCTCGGTTTCAGCCTTCTTTTTCATCCTTGGGCTTGGCAGCAAAGAAGATCCTTCATCCTTCGGCTGGAGCTTTGGAGATCAGTAACAAGGAGCTCGTTCTTGACTATAACCGACTTTCGGTTCAAATCAACTCTTTCATAGAGTTTCAAACTCGTTCAGAGTTATCAACTCATCCAGAGTTCTAAAACTTGCCACACAAGTTCTCCACAATGTTAAATCGTGAGGAGAAGATATCGTTCTAGTGAATCAAGACGTTCGGGTCGTTAACGGAGAGCAAACTCGACGCGAGCATTCGAGGGAGGCACTCCATCGCCGCCGTGAAGAACCCAGAATTAAACAAATAGGAGAATTCAGATTAATTCTCCTCTCTTTTGTAATCAGAAAATCAAATTATAATCGAGATTGAGAGGGTTGTAATCATTCTTTTTCTGAGCAGTTAGAGAGAATAAAACCAAACGCAATTCTTTCATTATTTTTTTATTACAAAAGTTTTCACCAAACAAAAGATGGCGACTCCGCTAAGGACTAGCTTCTCTGACGAAGAAGTGGTGATGCAATCCGATGTCAACCTCGCTGGAGCAACGGTCGAAACTCTCGTGGTAGAGTTTGATCAAGCCAAGTTTGAGAAGGCCCTCTCCTCCAGATCATTTAGCCCCAAGGCTATGCGCAAGATCCATAAAGTTTCTAAGGAGACTAAAGCTCCAGTTATGGCCGACTCATCGAAGAACTGTCTCCCTTGGGGGTTGCACTGTTCATACAGTCCCCTCTCTAAAGGAGAAGACTTAGCTTCGGCACAACTCCAAAAAAGCTGATCCTCCAATCAACGCGAGCTCCGTGTTTGTGAGCCTCATCACGAGCTCTGCATAAGCCAAGCTAAACACAGCCCTCAGGGATGCGTTTCTTAAATAAAATGCAACCCTTAGAGGCGCGTTCCAACATCAAAATGCATACCTCAAAAACTACATTGATCTGGCAGAACGCAACTCTCAGGAGTGCGTCCCAGAACCAAAACACAACTCTCAGGAGTGCGTTCAAGATCTAAAACGCAGACTTACGAACTGCGTTAACCGACAAAAACGCAACCGGAAAAGGTGCGTTTCATCAACAAAACGCAGACTTTGGCCTAGCGTTAGTAAAACAGAACATGACCCTCGTGTTTCTTCTTCAGAACACGATGTGATTCGTCATGTTCAAAAAGATCAACGTGGATTCAATTTTCATGTTCACCAAGAGCCAGTCCTGTCCAATCATGGACCGGGGGTTCCATTTCGAACCTCATGATCAGTGAGTAATTCTCGAGTCTTTACAACAGACTTGAGAGAGTTCATATCGAGAGAAAGACCGATGCAACAAGTCATTCGTTCATTCCAATATGAACGACTGATTCCTACGGTCCTCTCGTGATGTCAATGCTACTCATATGCGGTCAAACCATTGGTGTTCGACCAATTAACGAACGTTGCTTTGCTTAACCGACGACGACGTTCGCACAGGAAGAAGTCTCCAGAGACTGAGTATTCTGGAGTCACTATCAATGTGATCGGTAAAGGGAAAGCCTCCGGTCCTAGCTCCGATGACTCTGAGACAAGTCGTTCACCGACCGTCAGATAAATCGCTAACGAGTTTGAAGGAATCTACCAACGCACTCGGACGCGAACATGAGCAATTCTCCTTGTCAAGTATCGGAGGTTAGTCAGATGAACCAATTCCGATGATGAACACTCAGCCATTGCAGAGTCCCAAACATCAAGCTCTTTTGTTGAACATGAGAGCTCCGCTTATATGACGGGAAACCATGAAGATCTTGTGAAGAGACTTGATGAGCAGGAGGTCATGATCAAATCTCAGCAGGAGGCCATTAATGAACTCTTAGCCCTGATGAATCAAATCGTCACAGACAAGGCCAAATCTCAGAAGACAGATTCGCCACCTAGGCAAGAATCCTCCCGGAGAGAAAATACATCTTTATCCCGACCTCACACAAGCAAAGGGAAGGGAAAAGTGGTTAATGACACGGCTTCTGACCAAGAAGCCCACAACCTGGAATCTTCCTCTGATGAAGGAAGAAAGACTGAGGATGAGCATAATCTCTAGTCTGTCAAAATGAAAGAATTGGAAGCCCGTCTCAATGCCATTGCCAACAGAAGTGAGCTCCAAGACGATGGAGTTGTCAAACCATATCCTGCCGAATGGGATACAGCTCCTTATCCTCCAAAGTTCGAAATCCTGACGCTATAAACTTTTAATGGCATGGGATCACCGAATCAACATATCTATCATTTCAAGTCACAGACTGGGAATGTGATATCAAACGACGCCATACTGGCTCGATTGTTCATTGGCACCCTCAGGGGAAGAGATCTCGACGACGATGGCACAGGGGCGACGACGGCGCTGGGGCGGTGCTGTTGTGTTGCTCGACGACGACGAGATATGGACGACGAAGTGTTCTGTAGACGAACTGAAGATGACGACGATTACACGAACTTGAGACGACGACGAGATCTCGACAACGAAGAGGTGTTGACCAGCGAACTCGAGACGACGACTCTTCGACGAACTGGAGCCGACGACGAGATGGAGATGGCAGTGAGTGTCGATGACGAACTGGAGCTAGCCGAGGACGACGTGGAGACGATGAGGATGACGAAGTGGAGACGATGAGGAGCGCGAGAGCGGACGACGACGTGGGGGAGCGGACGACGAGATATGGAGGCGGCGATGATAAGAAGATGTATTTTTTTAACTAGGGTTTAAATCGTTATTTTTGCGGTTAGAGGATGATTAGGATTTGTGGGTTTGTAAAATTCGGTTTCGGGTTTTAGTTGGGACTTCAGGTTTGGTTATAGGATTTGTTAATAGAAATAGGTTAATTTCAGTCTAATTATGATTAGGAGTCCCATCAATGAAGGTAATGGACCCCTTCATTTTTAAGGAGACCCAATAACGACGGTAGTAGGATCAAATCAACGAAGCGATTAGAAAACCGTTATCCCATATCATAATATTTCTCTATTATTTGTAATCACTCGACGAAAGGTTTAAAACCCGTCGTTATTATATGCACATTAATGACGGGCAACTGGTCCCTTCACTAATTTTGGTCGTTAAATAGCAGATTTCTTGTAGTGTCAGGTGCGGTCGACCGCGAGTCGGGTTTTGGGCCTGGGCTCGTTTTTTTATCTGAACTGTTTGAGATCCCTGTTTGTATTAACCCTTATGTTATTAAAAGGGTGATTAGGGCAACTTGTAAACTGATGAAAAATAGTGGAATTTTCTCCTGCGGCGGCCGTAGACGTAGCTTCTCTCATCGAGAAGTGAACCACGTAAATTCTGTGTGTTCTGTGATTTGTTTCTCCCTCTCTTCCCTCTCTCATCTCTATTTCTATTTCCAAATCACAACCAGGGCTTGAAAATCCCTAACATCAAGATCAAAATTAACTTGTGAAAACCAATTTAAGTCATGGTTCATTTATTTGCCAAACTTGGATAGCTGAATTAGTTTTTGTTTCACTAAACCGGTTTAACTCCAGTAGTTATTAGATCTTAATTCAGATTTTTGGATACATTTTAAGGATACAAATACAAAAAATCGGGTGTTATTGGATTCAAAAACCAAAATATATCACTTAAGGGGTCTGGTGATCTAACCCTATTATAGCCAAGGGAAAAAGAACCAGCTAAGAGATTGCACGTGCTATATATGGTTTGTTAATTCTTCTCTTGGTTTAAATGATTTAGGCTCTTGTTACGTGTCTTGCAAGCATAAGGCAGAGATCGATGTTGTAGCATTCATATATTGGTTTCTGTTAAATTATGATATAATAATTTCAATTCATAACGGATACTGATGATGATGATGGTTTAGGGATATATTGGTGTCTTTGGTGAGAAAAAGAAAATTTGAGCGACTCCAAATAAACCTTTTAGTCCAGTATTAGGTTAGCTAACAGATACGTCATCAAACGCATAAATGCAAACCCTGCAGCCACCAAAACTCCATCTGGTCTCCATTTGTGACATTCTCGTTCGTGAATTCAGCTGTCTGCTGACCAAACAAACGGGTACCCACTTTAATTTTGTAGCAATACACGCACAACCGCAGTGAAGCTAGTAGCGGCTCTAAACCCCCACATCACTTGCTGACCGCTACGAGTAAGACTCGGAGTTTGTTGACGTGGACGAAGGCTTGCCTTGTGAGGCTTGCGGTCTTAATTAACGTGGATAGAAAAAACCCTAAACATTATACGAAATCAAATTAAATTCTCAATTAGTTTGCAGTCCGCTCCCTCCACTTATCTTGTATATATTTTACGTGGATAAAAACTCTCTCGATCTGTCTTATTATTTATTACGATCAAGTCTTATCTGTTTATCTATCTATTTGATCGGTCTTTGTTGGCAACAAAAGCCTCTCGTCACCTGATCTCCCACCGCAACCTCTCCTTCCCCTTCTCCAACTAGGATCGGATAAATCCCATTTACATTTCGCATTTTCCTGCTCTTTTCTTAAATTCCCAAAACACACACACACCCCTGGGCCCCCACCAAACTTTTTGCAGGGGAATAAAATATTGTTTGGGGTCAGAAAGGTAGATTGGCCAGCTGCTTGGGGGGGCCCACTTAGCCCCCCTAACCCACATGCCTTCAACATCTCCTCATCCCCCTCGCCTCTCTATTAAAGGGTCCATGGACACCGCATGAACATGAAGGAGGAAGAGAGAGAGAGAGAGAGAGAGACAGAGCTCCAAGTGCTTCTTGAAAAAGAAAAAGAAAAAAAAAAACAGAGAAAGAAAGAAAGAAAAAGATTTTGTACAAGAACAGGGGGAGAGGTAATAATTAATTAATGGGGATGGAAGTGGAAGATGATGTTTTCTTTGCCGATCTTAGTAAGCAGATATCCCTGCTTATTATGGATGACGATGAGCAAGATGAATTCCCTCTTCAGAGCCCATCGCTTCATTTTCAGGTTGGTCTTCTTCTTCTTCTTCTTCCTCCTCTATATTTCTCAGCTAGCATGTCATCTTCTACAAATCTCGTACACAGATTAAGCAGTATAGCACATATGCTAATTTGTTTCAAGTATTTGCTGCACATAATTGAAGTGCATATTATAGAGAAGGAAGAAGATAGCGCTTAGTTCGAAGCAAACTTAGTCTCTCGATCACTGTTGAGTTTTTCGTGAATTAGATCTGACTGCTAACTAACGACCCACACGTACGCGCGCAAGAAAGAATGGGGCCGGAGAAAAGAGAAGTGGAAAGAGCAGAGCAGTACAGTATCTTTATTTTGAAGTGGGCCCCCATGAGGCCGGGTTCTAGCGTCCACTTGAAGTTTGAGCTGAGGTATCTGTGGAGATTATCATGATGACTAAAAATCCTACGCGCCTGCTTTCTCTCCGATCGAGATCTGACTTTCGCTCACTCACGAAAAAAAAAAGCGGAGTGATATTGAGAAGAAATTGCCGTTTAACCACCGAAAAATCAAGTGAAAAAGACACGCCGCGTACGACTTGTCTTATACTTCACTCCACGCTATTCGCGTCCAAACGTAATTCCATATAGTGACTAATTAAATATCATAATTTGATAACTAATCACTCCGTCTTAATCAATTAGCTAATTAATTATCTAGTTGAACGAAGTGAAGTCGCGCCTTCGAACAATCACATAAATTGTTCCCCAAGCTAATGTTATGTGTGTATGCTCATTAGTTGACTTCCACTTGCTAATTAATCGAACTATAATAATGTGCAGGGGTATGATCAGCGTATGATGAGGCAAGCAATGATGCCACCACTAGCATATAACCAAAATATGTATGAAATGGGGTCCTACACGCTGTCATCATCAAGGGAGAGCAAGGGAACCGGCGTCTTCATCCCTCGCTCTTCTTACCCCAGGAGGAAGCCCCACATTCATAATGCCAAGTCCAAGTGCTCCAGCAACGGCGCCTCCCAAAGGAAATCCGCGAGAGCTGCGCTTCATTCTACCGCCGCTGCCAGCGCTGACGTCCTACGCTCCAAAAGCTCTGGCCCCGTCAAGAACCGCAATTGATTATTATTAGTTAATTTAGATATTTTGGGGGGTGGTGGATTTCTACTAACTCAGCGCGCTTCTGCTTTGAATGGTCTGAATTTTGTTTATTTGATGGTTAGTGGCAAATTGTTACTATATATGTACATGATTGAAATAAAACCCCTTCGAAAATATAAGCTCTCAAAATGTATAGGTATATGTGTCGACGAAGGGAAAGTGGAGAGTTGTGATCACATTAATCTAGTGCTTATTTATTAATGATATTTGATTATACTGTTCGCTTGGCTGCAGTTCTGAGTAATGGAGGGGTATGATATAAGTGTCTGGCTGATTTGTTGGCAGGAAAAGCCGCCGGCATTCGCTTGTGTACTTGTTGAGTGATCAGTAACTATTTTATCCCATTAAAAAAAATAAATTAGTCGCTATTAATGTAATACATAATATAATTTTGATGTATAGTACAAGTCATGTGCGGGGGAGAAAAAGAAAAGACAGGGCGCGTAAGAAAGCACATGGATGTTGGGGCCGAATCTAAAGCGTACGCAGATCATGAAAAGGATCCATCTCCAACTTAGTCACCCGCTGTCTTAGGGATGCTTCCTGTGTATATATGTGTACTTGTGAAGGGTCCAGTTACATCTGCATCAAAAGCCGATTCGTATTGTATAGAATCTAAACCTGATTAGCTTCGTCTCTGCTGCATGTTACTCCTTATTAGACTCACTACAGCTTCATAATTTTAGTCCAATGGTTAGCCGTATTTTAAGATGGTATCAGAGCTATCCAGATCATGTTAAAAAAATGAAATTACTAAAGTTATCTAAACATGATAGAAATTCAAATACTCGATCTAAACGTGTTTAAGTTATAACCAACTCTCTTGATGATGGGAAGTTATTGGACCACTTTGTAACCAACCGAGAAAATAAAACCAACATTCTTCCACTTGGTCCAAACATTCCATCATCCACCTTAATGAAAAACAAAATACATGAATCATGGTGATAGGTTCTCTAATGTTGAGTAGTATCTTCCATGGATCATAATGTATCGTGTCTCTCAACCCAAACGACTTAATGAATAAACCCTATGTTTATTCGAGGTCCAAACTTTAATGATATTTCTCAATAAAATAAACGAATATGTATGTGCACAAAAACAAATGAGAAATATCAACTGAATAAGAGTTTCAATAAAATATCAAATGTACATAGAATGAATATTTACATCATGGAACCAAGTCCCATTCTTCCTACATGATCCTTGAAATTCTTTGGTGACATGCCTTTAGTCAAAGGATCAGCAATCATCAACTCAGTGCTAAGGTGCTCAATGACCACTTTCTTTTCCTTAACACGTTCTCTAATGGCCAAGTATTTGATGTCGATATGCTTACTACGACTACCACTCTTGTTATTCTTAGCCATAAAAAGAGTTGTCACAATACAGTCTTATTGGCCTAGAAATTGAATCCACAATTCTGAGCCCCGACACGAAACTCTTCAACCATACACCATGTGACGTAGCCTCAAAACATGATACGAACTCGGCCTCCATAGTGGAAGTAGCAGTCAAAGTCTGCTTTACACTCCTCCAAGACACGGCTCCACCGGCAAGCATGAAAATGTATGCTAATGTTGATTTGCGTGAATCAACACACCTAGTAAAATCCGCATCAGAGTAACCAACCACTTCCAAATCGTCGGTCCGTCTATACATGAGCATGTAATCCTTTGTCCCTTGTAGGTATCTCATCACCTTCTTTGTAGCTCTCCAGTGGTCAATACCTGGGTTACCATGATATCTTCCTAGCATTCCAACAGGAAATGCTATATCAGGTCTGGTACAGACCTGAGCATATATTAGGCTTCCAACGGATGAAGCATATGGAATGTTTTTCATCTGTTCCTGCTCGAGCTCATTTTTAGGGCATTGATTTAGGCTGAATCTGTCACACTTCACAATAGGTGCTACACTCGGTGAACAATCCTTCATCCGAAATCTCTCTAAAACCTTTTTGATATAAGTCTCTTGAGACAAACCCAAAATCCCTCGAGACCTTTCCCTATGGATCTTAATGCCAATGACATAAGATGCCTCACCCATATCTTTCATATTAAATTTCTTCGAGAGGAACTGTTTCACCTCATATAGCAAACTTTTATCATTTGTCGCAAGCAAAATATCATCCACATATAGCACAAGAAAGAAAAACTTGCTCCCACCGACCTTCTGGTATATACATTGATCCATAACGTTCTCTTCAAAACAAAATGAAGTGATAACGTCTGTAGGTTGTCTAAAAATCACAATAGATAGTTTATCCCCTATCAAACACCGATGATGAAAGTTACAATCTGACGACTTCTAGAAGGCTATAATTTGAAGACTTTCACGTAGATCGCTGAAGGTTACAATCTGACAATCTTCACGACAACCGATGAGAGTTCTAGTTCAACAGCATTCACAATCAACATTGGGAGTTACAATCTGACGACTCTCATATTCTCAAGGAGCGAAAACGAAGATTACAAGACAATGATCTTTGCAACGCTATGACAAAAGAGATTACTTGTTGATAATCTCTCCAAAGCAAGACGCAGAACTCATCACCTCACTCTAAGACTAAAACGCGGAGGTCCTCCCCGTGTATCAACACCAAAACGCGGAGGTCCTCCCCGTGTGTCAATATCAAAACGCTAGGGTCGAACCCACGTTACAACATCAAAATGCTGGGGTCGAATCCACGTTACAACATCAAAACGCTGGAGTCGAACCCATGTTACAACATCAAAACGCTAGAGTCGGACCCGCGTTATAACATCAAAACGCTGGAGTCGGACCCGCGTTACAACATCAAAACGCTGGGGTCGGACCCGTGTTTTTCAATGCCCATGTTAGACCCTAGAGGGGGGGTGATTAGGGTCTTATGCTAATCTAATCCGATTAAATGCCAATTAAAATTAATTAACAAGTTATCCTAGCAAGTATGAAATACCACAAGAAATATGAGCTAGGATAAGCAATGTAAACAATGAGATATATCCTATATGATGAAATATATATATATGCAAGGATATATAAACTAACACAAGGGGTAAACAATGTGAACTAGATAGTGGATCATATAAATAATGAGCTAATGACAATGGCGATAAGAAATATAAACACAAGTATAAATAAACGCCAAAGCACACTCAAACACAAGATATGATCACGGAGTTCGGACCTTCCGTCCTACGTCTCCGCTCCCCACTCCCGGGGAGAAATCCACTAACACAATCCGGTTTGGAAGCCGGAACTTCTTCTACACACTCGGTTTTCTAGCTAACCGAAAACTCTACAACTCACACTCTTGCAATCACACTCTACACCCACTAAGTGTTGGACCTAGCCGTGTCTCCCTCAAGTGCTCGGTTACAACCTCTCCCTAGGCACGTCAACCGACGCCACTCCTCTTGGGACGATCCCCGACTCTCACCACACACTCCTCACTCGGTGTACAAGTGTATTACAAAGTGATTCTCACAATAAGCACAAATATGACAAATGATTGTTCTCAAAACAAGGTGAGAACTCAATTAAGCACAACTCTTAGTCACAAACCCACAACCCCAAATTATACTATGAATGTAAATACAATAAGCTCAAAAGGTTGTGTGTGAACAAAGAGATATAAATCAAAACTAAACTCAATGTAGTTCTAGCTTAATAACAATGATAATCAAATATATAAAAAAGCTAGAAATAGAGTTTAGAAAACTTCTCAATATATCAAGAGTTGGAGGGAGAATAGTTGAATGCCCAAACACCAATAGATGATCTCCTCAAGCTCTTGTAGAATTGAATCACAAAAACAAACTCTCAATTTGCTTAAAAGCTTTTTAAACACACTTAAACCAAACTAAAACCCTTGCTAAAAACTTTATTAAACTTGATTAAAAACTCTCTTAGTTAGTTTAAAAAGACATCAGCAATGGGGTATATATAGGCTCATGAAACAAGTCCAAAAACCAAGAAAAACACCCCCAAAACATTAAAATAAACAAAAAACAGAACTAGCCTGTTACTGTAGCAAACGGTAACCTGACCGGTCGACCGCAGAGCCTCGTCCGGTCGACCGCACTGTTCACAGCAACAAAAAAAGCTCTCTGGACATTTTCCGGTCGACCGCGGTGACACTCCCGGTCGACCGCATTACTGTAGCACTGCATATCCAGTTTTGTAAAATCAATTCAAAATAGTAAATCAACTCCAAAAATTGTGAAATTTTGAGGGAATGTTCTAGACATGTATAAGAATATGTTAGAAAAAGAATTTCTGAAAAATAATTTCCCAGTTGAGAGAAATAAATGTTTGAACACAGAAATACAGTTTCTAAAAATCTGCTGTGATACACGATTTTGTAAAAGCAATTTGGCACAGTAAATCAACTCTAAAAATAGTAAAATTTTGAGGGAAGGTTATAAACATATAGATAAACATGTCAAAGAAAGAATTTCTTGAATACCACTTCCCATTTATGAAAACTCATCTGTTTTGTAAAACATGCACGAACATGTGCACGAACAAAAACATGATTTTGTAAATTCCATTAAACATAACAAATCAATTCCAAACTTGATGAAACTTTACAAAATGTTTGTAAACATGAAAACAAACATGTTACAAAAAGAATTTTCCAATTTGCATTTCCCAATTGTGAAATCTCATTATTTTGCAAAAGTGTTCAAAACATGAAAAAAGTGATATACATGAAGTTTGATGTTTTGACATAAACAATGTTTTGAAACTTTGCACAATGATTATATAGACTTGATAAAATATGTATATGATGATTGTTAAGTCTATAAACTGAGAATACAATATTTGAGCTTAGAAACCAAATACGTGTGTGTATATGATATTGAGCTTAGAGTATCTAACACACATAATATAAAACCTAAACTAAATATACCAAAGCTTGATCTTGATCTTCAATAGGCTTGACTTGATATATTTGCGGATGAAGCTTGAACTATAAAATCTAAACTAGATTACCCAAGCTTGATCTTGATCTTCATTGTAGCTCAACTTGGTACACATACGGATGAAGCTTGAACTTGATCTTTAACTTTGAATTGCAAGGCTTCAACCCGACATTCCACCAACCTCCATTTGATATGATCGTTATGGCGCAATCCATCCATCCTCCAACTACGTTGTTTGTCTACAAAACATAGGAATGCACAAACACTAGACAAACAACATTAGTAGTAAATTGTTTGTAAATCATCATCAAAACAAGAAG